ATATATATATTGGGATTTGAGTTTTGACGTGAGATTAACTCGGAGCAAATGTGATATCTAAGTCATGGTGAAGATATTGTGCACGTGGAGATATGTAATGAAGATATGCATGGAGATTTGAAGTTTGCATCATATTTGAAGAATAAAGTTAGTTATGCAAAAGTGAGGTTTTAATAGAATATTTTCAGAAAAGAGTCTGTGAGTTTTTGTGAGCCTTGTGTGCTATTGAGATCGTCCTTCGGGAGAGGAATTTGTTGCTTTCGGGAGGAAGCTCTTTCGGTCGAAGGGAGTTTGTCGTGCAGTTAAGAAGACGTGTGGTGCACGCTAAACAAATCACTGTGGAGATTCGTCACAGCGGCGTCATAGTCTTGGAGGAAGTCCTTGAATGAATAAGTCCGTCAGTATTGTAATTCTTGAAGTATAGTGAAACTGTTTATTGTCTGGTCGTGGCCCCGCAGAGTAGGTGTGCGCACCGAATTGCGATACCATATTGCGTGTCTATTTTGATTTCTGCACTTTATTTTACTCGAACAATTTAAACAGTAAAAAATCCGGATCTTAATTAATTAAGTCATCTTCCAGACAATGTTTCAGCATGGAACATTAGACGTAACATCATATCTAACATATATGTATATTGTGTTCACATTATATTCATGTGCAAGAGACGATATTACACGCACCGCACACGCACACGCACACGTGTCAATTCTACTCGAGCCACCTCTATAGTTGACATACAAAACACAGCGTCGATATCAGTAATTCCTTGGATGCATCCAATTCGGGTGTTGGGACAGGAGAAAACAATACCAAATATTCTCCAAGTGATGGCATTTTGATTTGGACCTATGAGAAATTGCAAAGAAGTTTCCCCGCAAAGAAATTCCAGGTCTCTCATTGACGTTTTCTGTTGTATGTTGGAACTATATTTACTATCCATATTATAACAGTTTGCTGAAAGATTCCTGTTTTTTTTTTTCGTGGATCGATATATATATATATATATATATATATATATATATTACTTGAATACTCATGATCATACTTCTACTTTTAATAACAATATTGTTACAAATGATCCTTTTAGCAATATCTAGCATTTTTGCATGCATGTGTTTTATTTATCACGTATCCTTCTTTTTGTTTTTTAATATGTACTCGCACTGGGATTTGGGGGTGCCATTAAGATAACAATATTGTTTTCCCCCGCACCCTGTTCATATGTAAAGTACAAATTGCATGCTTATCCAAATTAACTTTGACCTCATGACATCCGTTGACAGTGGAATTACGTTAACAAGATTGCGCTGGATTACCACTCAGTGGTCTGTTGGGTTACCGACCAAAACTGGTTATATTATCGGAAAAATGCAACTGATTGTGTTGGTTTTCAAGATATATTAAAAATGTATCGATTTGTCAGTAAAACGAAAGAAAAGAACACACGAGGTTATAGTGGTTCACTCTATCATGAAAGAGCTACATCCACTTGTTATTATATTTTTCTTTCTTTCTTCAAAGATTACAAAAAATTCTATCCTCTTTTTGGAGCTTTGCCCTTTTTATATCTTACAGATTACACTAAAAAAGTATATATACGTCTGTGTGCGCGCATATATATATATAGCTGTTAAATATTACAGCAGGTTAAGACTTAAGTACCCCATACGTTCACATGATTTTTAAGCAAAATAAAAAATAAAAAATACATATAAACATATACATATATATACATATATATATATATTGTGTTCACATTATATTCATGTGCAAGAGACGAAATTACACGCACCGCACACGCACACATTTGTCAACTACTCGAGCCACCTCTGTAGTTGACATACAAAACGCAGCGTCGATATCAGTAATTCCTTGGATGCGTCCAATTCGGGTGTTGGGACAGGAGAAAACAATACCAAATATTCTCCAAGTGATGGCATTTTGATTTGGACCTATGAGAAATTGCAAAGAAGTTTCCCCGCAAAGAAATTCCAGGCCTCTCATTGACGTTTTCTGTTGTATGTTGGAACTATATTTACAATCGTGTGATAACTTAAAATTCTACATATTAACATTAACACTGTCAAAAATTAAAAATCCATAGACCAATATGCTACAATTAAAGGTTCAGTGGCCAAAACGCAGATGTGTCCAAAATTTAGGAACTAAAATGCTAATAACCATTTTTTGTTCAGATGGGTGGGAAATTAATGTAGGTGGTCGTGGAGTAGGTCTATTATAGATAGACAAGCTTATACTTGCTTTCTTTTTTCCTTTTTCTCTTTTTTGTTTTGATGATAAATAATAGCTGTCGTACTCTTTTTTCTTTTTCCCACATTTTTTATTATTATTATTATTTGCTCCCATATAATAGCTCTAGTACTTGCTTGTGTTTGCGGTGTTGATGGCAGTCTCAATTATCAACAAAGAAAAAGGAGAGGGTCTACTTTATGTCACTAGTCCTGCAATTCTGCGTTCTCACTTTCATGCACATAACTCATCGACCATACAATATCTCTCTATCTATAAATATATTCTTTCAACACCCTTTCGACACTTATCCAATCTCCGATGGCAAATGGGTAAGCCCAATAGGAGTGGTTCCAAAGAAGTTGGGGATCACGGTGGTGAAAAACGAGGATAATAAGATTGTACACACTCGAGTGCAAACCGGATAACGAGTGTGCATCGACTATCAAAAGCTCAACTCTGCAACTCGCAAAGACAACTTTCCTTTTTTATTCATCAATCAAATGCCAAAAAGGTTAGTCAGTCACTCTCACTATTGTTTTCTTAACGGTTATTCGGGGTACACCCAAATTATCATCACCCCGGAGGACCTAGAGAAGACAACATTCACGTGCCCATTCACGTGCGCCTTCGGCACCTTTGCCTACCGCCGTATGCCGTTTGGACTTTGCAATACTTTGGCCACTTTCTAAAAGTGTGATAAGTATCTTCTCCGACCATTTTGAAAGCATTATGGATGATTTTAGTGTCTATAGTAATTCTTTTGATAAATGTTTGGATAACCTTACGCTTGTTCTTAAACGTTGCATGGAAACTAACCTTGTTTGAATTGGGAAAATGTCACTTCGTGGCTAATCAAGGTATAGTTTTGAGACATGTTATATCTTCAATGAGCATAGAAGCTGATAAATCTAAGACCTTGTACGTTCCATACCCCTTCCTACAAGTGCACGTACTACAACAAATATTATTATCAATGACTAATCAAAAACGCTATTAAGCACTGCCAATAGCATTTTATAGAGCACTAGAACATCGGACGCTATTAAAAGTCTTACGCAAACATAGCGTTCTGAGAACGATATGAAAAACGCTACAGAATTAAAGTCTTATAGCGTTTTAGACATGTTATTTTCAGCCTCTTACAGCTATTTGACATTGTTACATTACAGATGAATAGTTTTTCTCTTACATTGAATGCATACTCCTGTAGCTTTTTAAAATTATTATTGAATATTTTACCAATAGTAAAAGTAATACATACTAACGTCTTATATACTTTTATTATGTTAATATCCTTTTGTGGTGATTCCGAGCATCATCTTACATTCAAATATGAACATTCAAATTAAAACATAAAAACATTCAATATAATAATTATTATCAATATCTACAAAGTTGGCAATAAGATGTTTACAACACAAGTCACACCATTTGTCCACAACTTTAACATTAAAAACAAGTGAAGAATACAGAGAAATAGCTAGAGATATCAAAGTATCCAAAACGTATAGCCAAATGAAATGGTTAAGTAACTAATCCATCTTGACAAAATGCTCCAACAAACAAGTCATATCCTCTAGCAAAGCAACTATTGACCTGTCAAAAAAATTAGTCTAATTAATTAATTAAAACAGATAAATTGATTAACTAATGAAGCACAAAAAGAAAAAACTAGATAAACCATACAACTGAACAGCAGAACAAATTTTACTATAAAGGCAGAAACTTGTAAGCAAGAGCACTTGAGTTTCCCAGGACACTAACAAAAAGTGCCTACAAGTTAACTCATATTTCATCTTGATTGCCAATTAACAACACAATTAAAATTCTAATGTCCAAAGTAGGTCACTTTTTCAGTAATAGACATACAATCATGAGAGTGAGAGATAAAGAAATACTAACCTTTGAGAAACTAACGTTAAAATCTTTGAGAAACAACGTCAAAAGAATAAGCTACAAGAGACCAACCAACAACATGAAATATAACAACATGAAAATTGTATACCAAAAGTCCTTATTTTTAAGCCCTACAAATGAATGCAACATAGTTTTGCCAATTCAAGCTGTGGTACTTTACGATTCTTTAGCTCTAAACCCATATCCATTGATTTCTCCTGTAGAACTTTTATATCTAAACTTATAGAATCAATCTCAGCCTGAAAGTGTTTCATGAAGTATTAGTTATCTTGACAATAATGTTACAATTTTAACAAAGAAATATACAGTATACTAGCATGAAAAAAAAGTCATGAATGAAAGTAAGAGTGAGATGAAAGTGAAATCATACTAAAGATTATAGATGTTTCACGGCTACACCTAAAACATGTGGGGCAAAATAAGCAAATGTGAGCACTTGTCACTAAATAAACCATTCACAAGTTAAAATTATAAAGAATTTTATTAATTAAAGCAAGAAATTCATTATCACAACAAAAAAATTTAGCAAGAGACCTAATTAAAATTTCTCTGTTCATGGATAAAAAAGAAAGAGAAAGAAACTTAACCACACTCTACGCTACGAACGCGTGTGGTTTCACAAAATTATGGTCTGTTTATTTCAGAATTTTGGCTGCCTATTAACAATCATTGCCTGGCAATCCATGACTTCCACAGTTGTATATGACTGGACTTGTCATAACCAAAAAAAAGAGGCAATAGTGAAAGAACTTACCTGACCAGTGCTCTCTAGCCGCCCCTTGTACACGCGCCCAAATCCCCCCTCCCCCAAGAAGCACTCCGGCCTAAAATTCTTTGTTGCTGCCGCAAGCTCACGGAAAGTGAATGTTTGTGCGGCAATATGATCTGAATCCATCAGCTCCTGCAAAAACAACCATTACAAAAGAAAGTGCAGATCCATAAGTATTATGTCATTTGCAATCAGACACTCAAGACCAAGATAAGACCTTGAATTTGATAAGACTCAAACAATAAACCCCCTTGGCATTCTCCAAATAGGAAACTCAATCAAGCTATCCAATCACATATGAAAACAAGCATAATCCACTTTTGACTTCAAAAAGATTCCGAGGAATATGATCAACAATATTAGCTAGCCCTAAAATATGGAAAATAATGAAAAGATTTCTAGACTTCATCACTCAGCACACTCGGATCGCCTAACAAGCAAACAAACTGGTGGGGTCTACCTAAAAAAAATCTAAAAATTCATAAACCTTGTTGAACAATCAATCAATCAGTTGATAATAAACAAAACCAAACAACTAAGAATCGCGCATTATCACCATATTCTTCACAATTTTGAATCAAATGGAAATACCCAGACACTATCAAGCAAAAAAGAAAAAAGGGGATAAATTATATATCAAAACGAAGTTAAAACTAACCTGAAGGCAATCTGGCGAGGTTAGAGGTAAGCGTTGTTTGTTGACTCTGCTTTAGATCATCGCTTTGCTTATCGGGATTTAGTTTCTCCTCCTCCTTCGAATCGAAACACGAAAAGCAACCCATTTTTCCCAAATCAAAAAGACCCTTTAAATCGTTTTTCTTTTTTATTTTTTTCAAGAGTCCAAAGAGATTATTACTTATTAGAGAAAACAAGATTGAATCCGAAGAGCCCAATCAGACAAACTCGTTCCCACTCATTTGACGTTCCGATTACCGGAAAATTTTCAAAAATATCGAAAATCTAACCGAAGGTGGTCGAAACTATTCCGGCGACCAATGGCAGCAAACTTGGTATGGATTTGTTCAGCTCGACGAGAGGAGTCCAAAGAAAGCACTTTTCGGAGGATTAGACGTGAGACGGCGCCGGAAACTACGTTGGAAGGTGCGGTGGCCGGGAATTTTAAACTGAAATTCCGGCCGATCGGCAGGGAATCGGGCGGCGTGGTGATGGGGGTTTTATAGATCGGCTCATGGGCTTCTTGGATCTGCTCTCGGATCACTGTAGGTTGACCAGAGGTGGTCGGAATCGACGGCGGCGCATTTCTTCTTCCGTTGCGTTGGAAGGTGCGGTGGCCGGGAATTTCAAACTGAAATTCCGGCCGATCGGCGGGGAATCGAGCGGCGTGGTGATGGGGGTTTTGTAGATCGGCTCATGGGCTTTTTGGATCTGATCTCGGATCACTGTGGGTTGGCCAGAGGTGGTCGGAATCGACGGCGGCGCATTTAATATTCGGTCGTGAGTCTCTCACGCGTTCTACTTCTTTCTCTTTCATTGGCGGTGAATTTCAATTCTGACTTAGAAGCTTCCAAAACATTTGCGAGTAAAGTGAAAATTTAGGGAGAAATTATTTTCACAATCTTTAAAATATTTCATGATTTTTTAATATATGTTTCGAAAATAATTTTTTTAAATGTTATAAAATATAATTAAAATAAATTTTAATGGCGTTTTTTTAAAAAACGTTATAACTAAAAATTAATAAAAACCTCTTTTATTGTAGTGTACAAGAAGTTCGTTCTTTTCTTAATCATGTAGGTTTCTATGGCAGGTTCATCAAAGATTTTTTGAAGATATCATTGCTTTTATGCAAACTATTACAAAAGGATGGAAGAAATGAACGCGTGATATGATATTAACAAATTTTTACGTTTTAACTGTTACATTTTATTTTCAGAAGTATAACTTTATATACTTGATTCGATATTAGACGATTTAGTTTTGTGGTTGTAGGTATAACTTTATATACTTGATTCGATATTAGTCGATTTAGTTTTGTGGTTGTAGGTATAACTTTATGTACTTAATTCCATCTAAATAATTTAGTTTTTATTAACGAAAATAATGGAGGCCTTAATAAATTGGGTATGGTTTTATGAGGCGGTCATTTTTGTATTGTTTAGAGTGTAGGCTCTTTTTTTTTTTTAAGGGAAATCAGTATTGTTAGTCTCTAAACTTTGTGGTCCCTTAAATTTTCAATTTTACATATTAGTCCCTGTAGTTTAGCTTTTATAAGATTTTGGTCCCTAACATAAAAATTGACAAACAAATTATGAAATTTAACAAATATAATCATGTGTCTATCGCGTGATAACTTAAAATTCTACATATTAACATTAAAACTGTCAAAAATTAAAAATCCAAAGACCAACATGCTACAATTAAAATGCCAATAACCATTTTTTGTTCTGAGGGGTGGTCATGGAGTAGGTCTATTATAGATAGACAAGCTTATACATGCTTTCTTTTTTTCCTTTTTCTCTTTTTTGTTTTGATGATAAATAATAGATGTCGTACTCTTTTTTCTTTTTCCCACATTTTTTATTATTATTATTATTTGCTCCCATATAATAGCTCTAGTACTTGCTTGTGTTTGCGGTGTTGATGGCAGTCTCAATTATCAACAAAGAAAAAGGAGAGCAGAGCGTCTACTTTATGTCATTAGTCACGACATATAGAGTGGCCGTGCAATTCTGCGTTCTCACTTTCATGCACATAACTCATCGACCATACAATATCTCTCTATCTATAAATATATTCGTTCAAAACCCTTTAACTTCAATACTACAGTAATTAATATTTTTGAAGGTATTAAAATCATTTTTGTTCAAGCTGAAATATAATCTATATTTCTCATACAATTTCATTGTGAGAATTTGTATAGTACTGATGTTAATATTAACCAAATTTTCTACATATATATAGAGATCATGTGGAAGTTAAAGACAGGCGAAGGGGGACTATGGCTAACAACCACGAACGATCACGTCGGTAGACAGTATTGGGAGTTCGACCCCGGCGCCGGAACTCCCGAAGAACGTGCTGAAGTCGAACGCCTCCGAGCGGAGTTCACAAAAAACCGGTTTCGGGTCAAACAAAGTTCTGATCTTTTAATGAAATTACAGGTACGATCTTTGAATTTCAATTTCTTTTTTTTGTGTGTCTATGTATATATAAATGTCTAAACGCTTATATATATATATATATGTATGTACACGTATTTGATCAATCACGGTTGCAACTAAAAGGCATGTATACACCAACGAAAGTTAATGCAATCACCAATGTGATCATCAATTAACAAACGAGCTATCCATTGGTGATGATGACTGAGTTTATCTGATCTATAATATTTCTGTGAGATAAAATTATGGTGTCGTTTAATTCATAAGTTTAAATTAAAGAATTCGAATGAAGACAAAAATTTTTATAGAAAAAAAAAATTTATACTAAAAGGGTTTGAATAGCGTTTTTAACCCACAAAACAAGCGTCACCAATGTATATTACATGAACTGGATAATATAAACACACATGCATAGTTTGTTCGCATGCGTATATTCATGTGTATACAATTAATATGAAAGTTGCAAGTTAATGAGTATAATGTTACAGAAGTCATAAGTAATTAAATATCTTTATAAAATGCATCAGTAACTCTTTTTTTTTTTAAGAAGACCAATGAAAAAAAAAATTGCTCAAAAAAATATAAAAAAAAACGAAGAAATAACAATATTTGTTGAAAAACAAAGCAATAATCATATTACTTCGAAAAACAAAGAAATAGTAATTTTTTGCTGAAAAACAAAGAAATAATAATTGTTGTATAACTACCTGCGGTACTGTAGTTTTTCACTTTTGCTTTATAGTGTGGTTACTAGCTGATTTGTGCTACGCATATATCATATTAATATAAGAAAAGGTATTAAAAAAAAAAGGAGGAGAAGAAGAAGAAAAAAATTTATAAAAAATAAGAAAAGGTAAGATTTTATAAATATCATGGGTGATTGGCACTAATTTTTTTTGTTTATTGAATAAATTATTTTTGTACTGTCAGCTTTTCATAAAAGTACTTAATCTGCGTAAAGCATGCTTATATCTAGTTAATTAGCTAGCTAACAGATGTTAACTCCACATAAATATGAAGATCTGAATGGTAATGAGTAATCACGTACCAATAATACTGTACATGTTATATTTACGATTACGAAAATATTACGTTGTCGACATATATATTAAACTGTATTTTGATGAGATTCGTTGTTTGAAGGAAAAGACTTTCACATTAAAAAAAAAAATGTGGGATGCCAATTGGCAATTACATTTACTTTTATTTAGGACTGACAATTCGGGTAGCGATACAACAACACGACTCGAAACCTATACGAAGTTAACGGGTTTGAGTTTACTATAAATTGGTTTGGGTCATAATCGGATTAACACGATTAATAAATGGGTTGGGTTAGGGTTGAACTCCTAACACGAATTGACACAATTAACTATAGTGTCATATGTAATATAATCTAATGATATGTGATATAACATGAAAGTTTATATGACATATTAAATACAAATAATATGAATTTTAATATTTGTAAGTAAAATTCATTTATTTTTATTAAAGCAAAAGATAAATTGATTGATAAACATGTTAAACCTGTCTTGAACGTTTTAAATAAGTCATTATTATATTAGTAATTTATTTAATATATTAATTTAAACGGGTTGACACGATTAACACGATTAATAAATTGGTCATGTTTGAGTTGATATTTTTGACACGTTTAATAGACAGATCGTGTTTAGGTTTATGTTTTTTGACACGATTAATAAACGAGTTGATACGAATACGACCCACTAACACGAATCGCCACCCTTACTTCTATTGAATGATTTTTTTTTTTTTTAAAAAGTAAATGTTATAGCATCTGCCTTTCCATTCAACGAAATTAATTAGCGTTAATATATGTATATATATAGCTTACGAAAGAAAATCGAAGTGGGCCAATTCCGGCACCAAGCAAAGTGAAAGAAACAGAGGAGATAACAAAAGAAGCAGTGACCAACACACTGAGAAGGGCTCTCATCTATTTCTCCATGCAACAATCTCATAATGGCTTTTGGCCGGCTGAAAATGCTGGCCCTTTGTTTTTCCTCCCTCCCCTTGTAAGAAATCTTTGTTAATTAGTTTCCTCAAATTTTGGTATAATTACTTTCCATTTGCCATAATTAACAATATATATATAACATTTGTGCAGGTTTTGATATTGTATGTGATGGGATCAGTGGATCAAGTTCTAGGACCGGAATATAAAAAGGAGATAATTCGTTATGCCTATAACCATCAGGTGAAGTTTGAAATTAATGTGTTTGCTATATCCCAAAACTTTCTCACAAACTAATTAATAAATAAACATTTTCATGACAACATGAGTTTTTTTTTTGTTTCTTCATTCTCGTAGTGAAGAAGAAAAAAGGTCGAAAATTTCAAAGCAAAAAGCCTTGCAAGAAATATTTATATATTTTGAAAATGTGTTTGATAGTTTTATCAAGAAGTTATTTTCAGAGTAAAAAAAACTCATTAATATATCTCTTTCTCTCACTTTGCTCAAGAGATGAGAAAACAAATATAAAAAATGAAAAACGACTAAAAATCGTTTTTCATTTCTCTTATTTTACACTAAACTAAAAAATCGTTTTTATTTCTGTTTTTTGTCTTTATTATGCCAAACGCCGTTTTAAAAACATTTTCATTTTCTCTTTCTCAAAAAACGTGAAAAACAAAAACGGAGCTTCACCATCAAAGCTACTTGTTATCACTTTTCCACAATATTGTATGCAGAATGAAGATGGGGGCTGGGGATTTCATATTCTGGGACCTAGCACAATGTTTGGCACTGCTTTAAATTACATTGCCTTGAGGTTGCTTGGAGAAGGTCTTGATGGTGATGAATCAGCCATGGCTAGAGCCAGACAATGGATTCTCAATCACGGCGGCCTTGTGGCAATTCCGTCTTGGGGAAAGTTTTGGGTGGCGGTATAACTAAATCAGCTCATTTTCTATGTTAAATTTCAATAGTGCATACTTAAATGTTAGAACACTTAGAAAAACAAGTGAATTTAAGAATTCCAACAACATGGTTAAAACAATATAGGCTCTTTGTTTCAGGTTCTTGGATTATACGAGTGGTCAGGCTGTAATCCAGTGCCTCCAGAGATGTTGCTTCTTCCGAAATCTTTTCCTTTTTATCCAGGTTGGAAATTTATGAAACTTTGTTGGAAAATGTACTAGCTTATCAATATTGATCATAGATATATGGAAGAAGCTAACTTAGAATTTAACAAATTGCAGGCAATATGTTATGCTACTGTCGCTTGGTTTACATTCCAATGGCATATTTGTATGGACGGAAATTCGTCGGTCCAAAAACCGATCTGATTCAGTCCCTACGGAAAGAACTCCACACCGAACCCTACGATCAAATCGATTGGAACCGAGCACGAAACACTTTAGCTAAGGTAATTAGTAAAATTTTCATGCCCTAATGAAGAAGCTGATGCTTCTGACAATATATATATATATATATATATATTATCACATAATTCAAGTAATACTCATATTATAATTGTATATCTAAATTTCAGGAAGATGTCTATTATCCTCATCCTCTAGCACAAGATATTCTATGGGGATTCTTACACCATGTTGCAGAGCCAATTGCTAACCGTTGGCCATTTACTAAGATGAGAGAGAAGGCATTAAAGCTTGCAATGGAACATATACATTACGAGGACGAAAACAGTAGATATTTCTGTATTGGATGTGTTGAGAAGGTATTAATATTTAGTAAGAGCTAAAAGAATTAATGCATGATCGTTTGAAGTTAAATTAAATTCGACTTTAAATGGTTTTTTTTTTTAACTGCAGTTATTATGTATGCTTGCCGTCTGGGTCGAAGATCCAAAATCAGAAGCAAACAAGTTTCATTTGGGTAGAATACCCGATTACCTTTGGATTGCCGAGGACGGACTAAAATTCCAGGTTAGTTAGATCATTATATTATGTGTACTTCTTATTACATCTTAATTCCTTGTTCAAAACAGAAGAGAACCACAAAATATTATAAATTATTAGGCAAGAATTTACGTAGTATGCATGCCACCAAAATCCAATAGTTTTGCATTATGCCATCTATTCTTTCCTTATCTCCCAGAATAATCTCTGAAAAGAACAAAACCGGAGATGCTCGGTCGTCTATTCTTTCATTATTTTTGTTCATTTCCGATTAATTGAGTGGCCCCGTTGGGTGGCATACTGTATAAAAAAAAAAAAAAAAAAAAAGGACATAAAAAAATTAGAGTGACAGTCTCCTATGTGAATATAAATTCCTAAATTAATGTACTGCAGAGTTTTGGCTCTCAAATGTGGGATGTGGGATTTATAATTCAAGCATATTTATCGAGTAATCTAATCGAAGAGTTTTTACCGACGCTTCGAAGAGCACATGACTTTGTGAAGGCATCCCAGGTTTGATATTATGTAGTTGTACTAGATCAATTTTACAGATGGTGTCTACAATGTCATGTAACTAAGTAGTAATTGCATTTAATAAAAGGTTTGTCAAAATCCCTCTGGAGACTTCGCCAAGATGGGCAGGCACATATCTAAGGGCGCATGGACATTCTCGACGCAAGATCACGGCTGGCAAGTTTCCGATTGTACCGGAGAAGGACTAAAGGTAAATGCGCTATTCCATCAAGATGGTTTCTTTTCCAAGCTTGCTTTCTCCAAAATCTTGGGTTTTTCATTTTTAACCCCCTCTTTTTTTTGTGTCTGCATATTTCTTCACTCACAGGTTTCGCTCTTGTTCTCGCTTATGCCAACAGAGCTAGTAGGAGAAAAGATTGAAACGCAACGTTTCTATGATGCAGTGAACGTCATTCTTTCCTTACAGGTAAAATCCATCAAACTAAGGTGGCGTTTGGCAGATAGATATAAAATTATGATTCAGAATCCTGATTTAAAACCAGTATTTGTTTACAGTGATTCTGAATTAGTGTTTGGTTTGGAGGATTCTAACTCATAATTCAGAATCTAATGTGATGTTTTAAACCAGAATCACTCATGATTCTAAAACCACTCCCTCTTGATTCAAGGTGATTCAAACCTCTGATTCGGAATCACGATTTGAACCCAAAATCATGAATTATGGTTTTGATTCTAGAATCATGATTAAAATCATTCTAGTTTGAATCCTCGTACCAAACCAACCTTAAGTATACTTGTATAAAAACACTTTGCACAAGCTAAAAAGTAAAATAACTAAAAAGAAACTGACTTTCTCTTATCACATTATAGAGCAAAAATGGTGGCTTCCCTGCTTGGGAGAGTCAAAGAACATTCAGTTGGGTTGAGGTAATGCTGGTTTAAAGTCATATATACACATAAGTATCTCCAAAATAGTAAAAGAATTTTGTATATTAAGAAGCCATTTTTGTTATTAACTACTCGCAGAAATTCAACC